GTAGGCCATGCCTCAGCGAAAAAACAACTTATAGGCAGTAATTTGTTATCAGTGAGAGTTAATAGTATCTATTGGTTATAGAGAATTGTTCTCTCGATAATTTTGAAGTTTTTGAAATACAAATGACTTCAAACGCAAGATTTAAATTGAACCATGAAGAAAATAGAGGTATAGTCTGTGCCCAATGCGGTGAAAAGATAATTTTTGGAAAATTCCTGCCCAATAGCATGTTTGTAATAACTGCAAGATTGGAAAGATGGCTTGTTAAATTTAGTAATCCGAAATATAGTCTAAGAAATATCAAGTTTTTAACTGCAATTTGCGGTACATGCAGGCATACTCTTTGCGAATATGAAAAAAATATTAAAACACGCAAGATGGTGAAAATGCCAGACTTTGAAAAAGAAAATGTTATTACAAACTCTACTAGGAATATCCAAAATGAGATGTGTGCGTGCAGAATATGCACAACAGTAAGATTCAAAGGAAGGTAACACGAGGAAGGGGAAATATAAAAAACAAGAAAAAAAACATATATGTACGAATTCAGAAAGACATGGAAATTTCGTCAATATTATAAAAAAAATTACGCCGAAAACTCAAGAACAAGTCGTTTCTTCAGTTCTCAAGACCCGAGTATTAAAATCTAATAAATCATCATCTTCACGCAAAAATGCTTCTATTAGTCTAACGAAGATTGTCTACGGAAGAGTGTATTAGATTTTTGAATGGTGCTGGGTTGGGCACATGGTCTGAGCAGGCTGGGGAGTCGATCCTTCGCGAGTTTATAAAATACTGGAATAAGTATAAAATCAATTTACTTGAACATCCTGATTATGGTGAACATTTAAAAAAAGCTGTAGTACTCTCTTAAAATGAATTAGTCAAAAATAACTAATTATAAGTCATATTTGACTAATTGTCATAGCGAAAAAGCAGTCACTAATAATTAGTCAAATTCCACTAAATGAAATAGTCAAATTAGTAAATTTAAATTTTAAAAAAGTGTTGACCCAGCCTGGGATTGAACTCAGGTCTGTCACTTGACAAGTTTGTCAAGCTAACTTTATAACGCATTCGGCTGTCAGCCGCTCTTATAAAAATTAATTTTATTTGTCAATAAATATTATTCATAATATTTTAAAGTTTAATATATTATTTGTGTTGCTATTTTAAGCTAAACTTTTTGCATCATTATTTGTTTTATGGGTCATTTAACCATGGAGCTTAGGTATATGCATTTAATTCAAATAATACTTTGTTGTTGGCCGCAAACGATTAAAGAAATTAGTTACTTTTAACTCTCAGAAATAGTCAAAGATGGTGACCTATCTTAAATTAGTCAAACTTTAACTATTTACGTAGTAAAAAATAACTATTTAAAAGTGAAAACGACTATTTTATTAGTAAAAAATGCTGGTACTAATTCAAATAGTAGAATTTTGACTATTTCATTTTTAGAGAGTATACTTTAGTTCTAACAATTTGTAAATGATTCATAGTTTTCTGTAAAGTAATTTTATCTATTTTGGTTTCATAATGACTTCATTATAACACCGCTTTTGGTTCTTTAATGAGGTACTTTATTCCACCCAAAATTTTGATTTTATAGGTTGGCTACTGGGAAAATACAATTTTGAATACCTATAGGTTATAATATTTTTATGATTTGTTTTCTAGTACTTACGAGACTTTTCGTGTAATAAATTTTGTTTAACACCAAAGAAAATCCTTTTTTCTTCTTTAACAGCCGCTTATTGTAAATACTTATTGTAAATTAACGACGCCATAGCGAAAGAATGTGATAATGTTTCAAAGGTTAATGACCTTTCAAACTTCAAACTTTGTTATCTATGATACCAACTATGTAAAGTAAAATTTAACCAAATTAAATATAAGGTATAAAATTAATTTGTTTTATGAAATGTTTGCAAAATAGATAAAATAGCATAAAGAACTCATGTCATAAGACCTTTTGTCGCACTTGTCCATTATAAAACTCGCTCCTTCGTCGCTCGTTTTATAAATTGTCCGCGTGCGACAAAATGACGTCTTATGACATTAGTTCTTTAATATACTATTAGTTATCATTATTGTTTAATAAATTAAAAGATTACTATTATTAATAAAAATTAAATTATGAAAAAACTTCACTTTTTTTCTCTAGTCTCTTGTCAAATTAGAAAATTTATTTATTATTATTATTTTAAAAAATGGAAAAATATAAATGGTGATTTTTTTTCGACTCTCACTTTATATTTTAATTCTTGATTCTTTATTGAAATTGATGATTGATAGGTCATACTAATATTTTAGCGGAGTCCGCCTAAAATTGTAAATTTTAGACATCACTTCATCAATTTTTGCAAAAAATCCAGAAAATTGCAAAAAAATAAAAAAGAGGATCAGCTAGGATTTTGAAAAATATGGTTTTGGAGTGAGGAATATAATAGATGCATATTCCAAAAATACAATCCGTTTTGGTTGACATTTTTATGTGACCTGAGACTTGTTTAGTAGGGTGGGCCGAAAAACGTAAAAAAAAAAATATTTGAGATATTTATTTTTGGGTAGCAATAAAAAGTTACCTTATGTTAAAAGTAATTTATTAGAAAAAAATGTAGCCTACTAGCCCATTATTTAAGGGTCCTCCGGGGGCCCAAAATATTTTTTTTGTATGTTTTTACTGGGGTGGGAACAAAAAGTTACCTTATGTTAACAGTAATTTTAGAAAAGAAATGAGCGTACTAGCCCAATATTTAAGGGTGCCCCGGAGGCCCAAAATATTTATTTTTATCATAATTTAATTGGGGTAACCACAAAAGTTACCTTATATTAAAATTAATTCTAAAAAAAAAATGATCGTACTAGCCCAAAATTTAAGGGTGCCCCGGAGGCCCAAAATATATTTTTTGTTCATATTTTAATTGGGGTAACCACAAAAAGTAACCTCATGTTAACAGTATGTTTAGAAAAAAATAGCCCTTCTAGCCCAATATTTAAGGGTGCCCTGGGGGGCCCAAATTTTTTTATATATATTTTAATTGAGATGGCAACAAAAAGTTACCCCATGTATTATTGCAAAGACAAACCAAATGCCTGTATCAGTCGTAAGTTCTTTTTATTATTTTATTAAGACGCCTTTTAATGAAAAAAATTAGCAACTCTTAGCTTGATTTTATTAAATTTAAAAAAGATTTTGCGTTACTCTAAATTAATTAACACAACCACTATCGAAATAAATAAAGTCTTAAAAGAAGTAAATGCTTGGTCAGTTAATCATAGACTTCAGTTAAATGCCAAAAAGAGTCTTGTAATAAATATTGGTACAGTATATATGATAAATAAAAAACAATATAATTTTAATACCATACATATAAATAATATAGAAATACCTCAGGAAGAAACAGCAAGAAATCTGGGTGTTATTTTTTATACAAACCTGAACTTTAAAAGCCATGCTACAAGACAACTTAGTTTGTGTTATATGAAGCTGAAATCACTATATTAATTTAAGTATGTTCTAAATTCTAACACCAAGTGCAAAATTGTTTCAACATTAATGTACACCCTATTATAGACTATTGCATGCCAGTCTACTACTCATATCATACTGAAACATTTAAAAATAAACTCATGTATTAGATTCATATATTTAGTCGGAAAATTTGACCCCATTACTTCAATCTATTTGGAAAACAAGCATATAAAAATAATTGATCCTTACAAGCATAATTTTGGAAAATTAGTGCAGAAAGTAAATACCTAATAATTGCCTGAATACCTATTCAACAACTTTATTAAAGGATCCAATAAACACAATCTTGATTTAAGACACAATCTTTTTCAAATACCTAGTCACAAAAAACTTTTGAATTCTTTAACATAATATTTAAATATCCAAACACATTTAATTTAGAGTACAAAAATTTGTTATTAACTGGTGTGATATGAAATTATAGGATTTAGTTTAATTAATATGTGATATGCAGAATAAAATAGATTTAATTTCTTAGTAGGTGGTATGGAAGAACGTCCTTACGAACGCAGCCTTTAATTGGATATTTGCTCCTCGAGTTCCATCCGCTCCCTCCCACCCAGTTTTTTTTATTATTTAAATAATAGACTTGTTGTCATATAGGCCGGTAAAGATGTCCGCGCATCTATATATATATGGTTATAACCATTTTTTGCTACCTCACAGCAAATTTTTAATGCAGCTTCTGTTACAAGCTTCACAAACTTTTTTACCGCTTGCGTGTGAAAGGGAAACTTGCCGAACCTTATATAGAAGTCGTCTGCTCGACTTATAAATATTTTTAGTTCTTTTATTTAAAAAAAAACATTTACAAATTTATAAACATTTTTAACCCTAGAATTTGCCAAACCGCCAAATTTTTTACGTCAAACTCTAATATTGGACATTTTTTTGTAAAAATATTGTTAACATTTATGTAACATTTAGGTAACTTTTTGTGGCTACCCCAATTAATATATAAAAAAAAATATTGGGCCCCCGGGGCACCCTTAAATATTGGGCTAGTACGCTAATTTTTTTTCTACAAGTATTGTCAACATAATGTAACTTTTTGTTGCCACCCCAAACAAATTATAAAAAAATAATATTTTGGGCCCCCAGGGGGACCCTTAAATATTGGGCTAGTATGCTAATTTTTTTTTTACAAACTACCTTTGGCATAAGGAAACTTTTTTTTGCTACCCCTAAATTGAATTCAAAAAGTAATTTTTTCGGCCCACCCTATTGTTTAGGCACACCGTGGTCGGGAGATTGTTGACTTTGCTCTGGCAGGCCTCATATAGTATAGTAGATTTAAATGCTGGTACTAATTCAAATAGTAGAATGTTTACTATTTCATTTTAAGAGAGTAGGTAATTCCAATATAAGGCCAGCAATGAAAAAAGACTCTTCGGAAAATACAATTTATACAAATTAGTTAAAAACAGTATCCGCAAACAAGATATATGAAAATAAATTTGAGGTTCCCGCCGTGTGGATCCATCCTTGTCACCAAATTAATTCCGGCAATTTGTCCTGTTCTAGACGAAAGGGTGATCGAGGACGACCCGTCCGAAAACTGGCTGTTCCCGAGCGTCGCCCCAGCGCCGCTAGAGTTGGAGACGCTCTCAGGGGCGCCGCCTGTCCGCACTGCCTCGCTAATTTTTCATTTAGCGATGATTATGCTACCGCCGCTGCTTATCCTCAGGTGACGAATAATTCTCGACTAAGAGCTGGACTAAAAGTTTCGTCTTTTGGGGTCCCGCCGACGCTTTGGCCGACATCTTGTAACTCCCGGAGGACGGGTTTTTCTGCATGTATATAGAACTTAGAGTAAGTTAGAAGGGTATGCATTATTCATATCATAAAATATAAACTGAAAAAAATGTTTCATTTTAGTAACATGATTTTAAGATAATCCAACCAAAAATTTGTGTAAATATTTATAAATAGGTAATTATCATATGAACTGTGCGACCAAAAAGTTAGTTCTTTTTCAAAACGACATAACTTTTTTTGTTTCTTGAACGATTTTATTTTGGTCTGTGATGTCTGCTAGCCTCATCCTCTGGCAATTCATGCTATAGATATGAAGCTCACGGTTCGTCAAGTAAATTTTCTACAGGGTGATATGTTAAACGGTGAAAAATTTCAATATATTATAACTTATAACTTCATCCAAGTCCCGTTTTTTTCTCGTTTTTATTTTGAAATAATGAAGTATTATGTGTTACCTTGAAACGTTTTTTAAGTTTTTCGAATTGGAATCTTAGCAACGACGATATGATTTTTTTCGGATTTTATTAAGACATTTAACAGCCGGGAATTGTTTTCGAATTTTGATTCTTGGTGATTTTGGTTTTATCTGAAACTTAAATTTGACAACTGAATCACAATCAGGAGGTCAAAATTATAAAGAAAACATGTAAATATCGGTTCAGGTTTAGTTTTCGAAAATTTTTACCAAAATATCATTTTGAAAAAGTGGTCTTTACTTAGGCCCCTTTGAAAATAATGGAAGTTTGTTGCTTGTCGCTTGTTCAGAATTATTCAAGGAACAATCTTTCACCTTCTTATTTTCTTGTTCTTAAATGTACTCTTTTGTAAAAAAAAATCAGTTTTCGTTGCTAAGATTCCAATTCGAAAAATTTGAAAACCTTTTCAAGGTAAAACATAATTATTCATTATTTCAAAGTAAAAAAGAGAAAAAATATTTCTTTTTCAAACGGGGCTTGGATGAAGTTATTGAAATTTTTCACCGTTTTACATATCACCCTGAAGGAAATTTACTTGAAGAACCGTGAGCTTAATATCTATAGCATGAATTGTCAGAGGATGGGGTTAGCAGACCTTACTGACCAAAATAAAATCGTTCAAGAAACATAAAAGTTATGCCGTTTTGAAAAAGGACAAACTTTTTGGTCGCGACACATTGAGTGGTGCGCAGTTTAATTTATAATTGAATTAACAATTCACTTTTGATTACAAATCAGTTTTCATTGGGTAAAACTTTATGAACATACTATATTTTCATCATACTTTTATCAAAGAAAGTTGTACGATAACTCATATTTTGTACGACATTAAAATAGTACATTATCGTTGAGTCAATCACATCGTTGAGTGAAGAATTCTTTAGTAAATGACATTATCAAACAGGCTGAGAAAGCGGTTAGTGTTCGCTGCCGAGGCGCTAGCCAAGACTGTAGAGATGGCAAGTTTGATTCCGATTCATTCAAAAAGAACGAATCATTTAAATGAATCGAATTAATCAATTCAGAGTTTTTAAAAGAATCAATTCGTTTTTGAATCAGGGTGAGCGAACTAAAAAGTGAATCTTACCATAAAATAATATAAAATTGATTTGGCTACGGGCACTGAATTAAATGCTAAGTGCGGATCACTCTACGACCTTTGGGAAAACTAGGTCTTTTTAAATTTCTGTTAATATTTCTTAATTCACACGTAAGGAAAATGAAAATCTAATTGAATAGTTCAACAATACCATTGATTCACTTAAGGATACAACATGACCGGTCTTCTCAAACGATTCAATGGTAAAAGAATCAATATTCGGACTTTGAATTGATCCCGAACCAGAAAGTGAATAAGTCACGAATCTTTTTGAACGAATCATTTTAAAAAAATGAATTAAAAGAATTGATTCACTTAAACGAATCGAACTTCCCACCTCTACAAGACTGGTGATTTGAGCAAGGCAGTTAATATGCTTGCCACGCTAAACGGTGGTCAGAGGTAAATTTACGCCGAAAAAATTATTATTTAAATATTTGTCCCAACACGTGACTTTATTATGTTTTTATTTCCACCTTCTTAGTAAATGACATTTTATAGGTTAATTGTGTTGTTTTTGTATCCAAGTAAACGATACATTATGGGAACAGACCTGTAATACTTTACGGGCTTGTAGAAAAGCAATTTATGAAATGAAATGTCACATTTGACATATTAATTAAAATTTTAAATTTGAAAATCGTTATCTAAAGGTGAAAATAAAAGTTTGTACGTGTCACGCTTTGCAATTAATCTATACTAGGCTCACTAGATTATGAGGTTAAACTTCCAGCTCGCCTGTAAAGATTCATTTACAAAGCTTGACACGTAAATAACTATTAAGGGTGCTAAATTTACTTCTGATATAATTTTTTCCAAAATATTTGGTATTTTGGAAGGGAAGGGGAGTCTACTTTTTTAATCTCTGAGCACCCTGTACATTTAATTCAAAATATTTGTATGGGAATCTTATTTTTAAAACAAGCAGGAGTTTTTATGAAATTAAAATTTTTTTTTTCTATTGTCAACTCGATCCGTGGAGGCACTGTATAATATACAAAGTACGTATATTAAAAAAACAGTATTATGTAATAGGAGTAAAAAAAAATTATTACCATTCATAATTATTGTCAAATTTGAAAAACATATTACTTTTATGACCAGGTTGGCGGTAACTAACTCTTATAGGCGCATAAAGGCAGATGAATTTTTATAAAGTCGGAACTGGATGTTATATTTTCGAATGCACTAGGTGGTTCTGGGCAAGTAATTATAAATTTTTACTTACATTCCATTTATTATTTGAACTTGAGAATTTGTAGGTTAAAAAACGCTATATTTTTGACAAATATTCCAAAAAAGACATTTTAAAGTTGTATTTGTACTCACCTCTATCCGTTTAACACTAATTTTCAAAATTATATTTACGCAATACCTTTTTTAACACGAAAAACCCAAGATTCCGAAAGGAAGAGTATTTTTGACAATTCTTTCATGTAGGTATTTGTTATAATGCAACGCTTGCATTTAATTTTAATTTACACTGTATCCATTAGACTGGGCCAAAAAAATCGACTTTTTCTTTTTTTGTAAAGTATATCAAAACTATTGTTTGGGGTGACAAAAAAAATTATGGTGAAAGTTTGAGTTCATAATATTAATATTAAGAAGTCTATCATCGCAATTTTAGATTTTTTTCCCTGACGGAATGTTTGTCTTAGCACTCGCAAACCATTGAGTTTAACAAAATTGACTTAAGAATATTTTTTATACAAAATTGAATGCCCTAAAAAAAAGATTAAATTGGAATTTCCCGTCAGATGAACCGTTTTCTTACAATCATGCCTTAAAAATTAGTATAGTTTAACAAATTGATCTTTTAACTTTGGAATTTTGTAATTCATGTAAAAATCAGTACCCGGAAAAAAACCGATAGATATTCTTGTAAGAATTCAAATGCTCAACAAAAAAGTCTCCTAAGATTTTTGGCTAAATTCACTCCATCAAAAGTTATTTAGGGTTAAATTTGAAGTCAAAACGAAATTCTTGTTTTTTCCGCTCTAGATTTTTTTTTGGTCAGTTAAAAACTTGAATTCTTTTATCAATGACAATCTTTATGTTATTGAAAAAATAACTAAAAATTTTTGGAAAATCTTTGGAAAATATTATTTTCACTGTTACCTATTTAATTTAAATTAAATTAAATAATAACAGTCATGTTGTTTCCTTATTGGAAATTGTTAATTAGTTATATATAATATAAATTTATCAAATTATCATCAAAAAAAAAAAAAATCTACAAAGGAAAAAACAAGAATTTCGTTTTGACTTCAACTTTAATCTTGAATAACTTTTGATTGAGTGAATTTAGCCAAAAAGACTTTTTTTATGAAGCATTTGATTTCCCATAAAAATATTCATCGGTTTTTTTTCGGGATACTAATTTTTACATGAATTACAAATTTACAAAGTTAAAAGATCAAAATGTAAAACAATACCAATTATCTGACGAAAAATTACATTTTAACCTTTTTGGTAGAGTATTTAAAAATATATCTGAGTCAATTTTGTTAAACTCAATGGTTTGAGTTCTGAGCCAAAAACTCGCTCAGGAAAAAAAATTAAATTGCCATGATAGACCTCTTAATATTAATATTATGGACTCAAACTTTTACCATAATTTTTTTTGTCACTTCAAGTCGCATTTTGGATATACTTTTCAAAAAAAAAAAAAATTGATTTTTTTGGCCCAGTCTAGTATCCATATCTTGGTAATTTTGCAAGACTTTTATTTAATACTATTTAATACAATTTAATTATTGTTTATTTCTTTCAGTGAGTATATAATGTTAAATAATTTGTATCGGATTTTGTTTAAATTCAGGAAATGATGTTTAATTTTTTTGTACGTTAAATTTCATTACAATTTTAGGATCAAAATAAAAGTAATTAAAAAAGTTTTAAATCACAACTTAAATTAAATGCGTTTATGGGTTATTTATCTGCAATGAAAAATTTTATTATTTAGTTTATTTTGTAAATAGGTCGCAGAATACTTTCTTTCTAAAATAACACGTTTTAGACCTTATATTTTCATTCTTATATTTTTTATTATAGTTAAAATAAACATCACATACTTTTTATTAATGAAAAAAAAATAGTAGTATAAAGTTAAGTAAATAGGGGAATTTTATTTGTATTTTAGATATTTATATTCTATTTATTTAATATATCCAAAATCAATCAATAGTTGGTTTTGTTAAAATCACGTTATTGGTGAATAAATAATTAAACTAAATTTTAATTGTAAACAATTTTGTGATATTTTATTTTAATTATTTGCTTACATAAAATTATTTACCTACCCACTAAAATTAAATAACTTTGTAAATATCATTTTTACTAAATAATCCGTATA